TACAAACCGGTTTATTCTGGTTTCTCGTGCCCCAAACTGGTCTGTACTGGTCCCAACTGGTTTGAACTGGTTCATACTGGTTTATTGTGGTCCGAACTGGTTTATACTGGTCAAACCGGTCCGAACTGGTCCATACTGGTTCATACTGGTTTATTGTGGTCCGAACTGGTTTATACTGGTCTATAGTGCTTTATATTGGTTTATACTGGTTTATACTGGTTTATCCTGGTTTATCCTGGTCCAAACTGGTTTGTACTGGTTTATACTGGTTTATCCTGGTCCGAACTGGTCCGAATTGGTCCAAACTGGTTTATCCTGGTCCGAACTGGTTCATACTGGTTCATACTGGTTTATATTGCTTTGTGCTGGTTTATACTGGTTTATCCTAGTTTATACTGGTTTGTACTGGTTTGTACTGGTTTATCCTGGTTTATCCTGGTCCGAACTGGTTTATACTGGTTCATACTGGTTTATAGTGGTTTTGTATTGGTTTTTATTGGTTTATACTGGTTTGTACTGGTTTATACTGGTCTGTCCTGGTCTGAACTGGTTCATACTGGTTCATAGTGGTTTATATTGCTTTGTACTGGTTTATACTGGTTTATACTGGTTTATACTGGTCTGAACTGGTTTATACTGGTTCATACTGGTTTATAGTGGTTTTGTATTGGTTTATACTGGTTTATACTGGTTTATTCTGGTCTGAACTGGTTCATACTGGTTCATACTGGTTTATAGTGGTTTTGTATTGGTTTGTACTGGTTTATACTGGTCTGTCCTGGTCCGAACTGGTTCATACTGGTTCATACTGGTTCATACTGGTTTATATTGCTTTGTACTGGTTTATACTGGTTTGTACTGGTTTATACTGGTTTATCCTGGTTTATCCTGGTTTATACTGGTTTGTCCTGGTCCGAACTGGTTCATACTGGTTCATACTGGTTTATAGTGGTTTTGTATTGGTTTGTACTGGTTCGTACTGGTTTTTACTGGTCTGTCCTGGTTTATACTGGTTCATACTGGTTCATACTGGTCCGTACTGGTTTGCAGGGCTGGTTTGGGGAGGGGCCCCTGCGGGGGCTGCTCCTGCCCCAGGTGCACCTGGACACCCTCGACGTACTGGGAGCGCTGGTGCTGGCGTGAGACAAACTGGTTTATACTGGTTTATACTGGGAATGGGCTGGGGGGGACTGGGAATGGGCTGGGGAGTCACTGGGACAAACTGGGATAAACTGGGAGGGACTGGGAGGGGATTTGGGGTCACTGGGACGTGCTGGGAGCGCTGGTGCTGGCGTGAGACAAACTGGTTTATACTGGTTTATACTGGGAATGGGCTGGGGGGGACTGGGACAGACTGGGATGGGACTGGGATGGACTGGGATGGACTGGGATGGACTGGGATGGACTGGGATGGACTGGGAGGGATTGGGGGGGACTGGGAGGAACTGGGATGGACTGGGATGGACTGGGATGGACTGGGAATGGACTGGGATGGACTGGGGGGGACTGGGATGGACTGGGATGGGACTGGGATGAACTGGGATGGACTGGG